CTGATCCACACACGCACACACACATGCACGCATGCACAAGGGCCGCCCCGTTGTATAACAGCACAGCAGAACGACATAACTGAATTGACCTTTGTACCTCTGTCTGTGCAGTCACACCCTAACCTGATCTCTTCAAAGCCCCGGGATACGCAGCAGCTCCTGTGTGTGTTTTTAGTGTGTGTGAGAGAAAGACAGAGCGAGCGAAAGAAAGAAAACGAGAGAAGAGCGAGAGAGAGAGAGAGAGAGAGAGAGCGGGACCTTTCATCTCCTAATACCTCCCATCAGTCTGTCATCGCCATGTCTCATCCTGTATGCTTTTGCATTGAGCTGGCCGGCTGACAGCGTGGGAGTCAGCGAGCTAACCTGTAAAAACCAAACTGTCCCAGTTACATACTATGTCTTAAATTCAGTCATCACAGTATACTACATATCTTCCCATTTGTGAGCATCTAAGCAGACAGCTCAGAAAATGAAGTGAAGTTCAAATATGTAAGTATACTTTAATCTGAGTACACTTTATCACTTTTTACTGAGACAGCACTACATATTCAAACCTGGTTTGACTTTGTTAGTATGTAGTTTGGACGTCGACACCGCCCAAATCTCACCAAGCTTGTTTAGCGGTGACACGAGGAGGTTAGGTCAGATCTACATACCTATCTGGATTGCACCTTGTGGACAAATCACCTGGTGAACAGCTAGTTCATAAACTAACAATCAATTTCATTATCAATTAATATGTGGATTTATTGACTAATCATTTAGTCTATAGGTGTCTGAAAAAAGTGAAAATGCTCCACCCATATGGTGAGCATTTTCACTATATGCGCTCTCTAAATGGCTTGTTTTGTCTGACCAACAGCGCAAACCCCAAATACATTCAATATTCAATTCTATAAAACAAAGAAGCAGGAAATCCTCACATTTTGGAATTTGGAACTAGTGTTTGACATTTATTCTTGACAAATGATAACTGGGGACTGTGAGTTAAGGCAGTGCTCAGATGCATGTACACGCTGCCCTCTCAGTTTCCCCAGTGCAGAGAATCTAGACACGTCATGTCGTCACAACTCATCTCTGTCATGCGTTTCTCTCCTTTCGTTCTATCACTTTGACCCAGTCGTGTGGCGCTTTAGTAACCCTGCGAAAAACACTGGCAGATGGCGCTGGGGAAGATTAGGAGCAGTCTTGCACATCTGCAAACACACACACACACACACACACACACACACACACACACACACACAAGATGGATGAAATACACACCTGCAAACCTGCATCCCCGTTCCTACACCTTAATTTCCTCTTTCATGACCTAACTCTGTGTTTCCTATCAGCCCCTCTTATAATCTTTTTTTTGCACTTGTTATATTTTCCTGTTAAAACTAATGTCCGGTTGTCAGTTTTTACAGAACTTCAACAAAACATGTGCGCTATGAATAAAATGCATTGTCATTTTTATCACCACCTCACATCCTTTTGAAACCATTATCCAACTATCTTTTCATCTGCAGTACATGAGGGCATTATTTCCACACTTTCTTTTCTCTCTCTCTCTCTTTTCACTTTTTGATCATTATTATCTTTCGGTTCAGTCTCTGCAGCGTCTTCTGCTAAAACTAGAACATGAGGTTAAGAGGCCAACATCAAAACATTTCATACTGGCAGGCCTACATCAGAGCCGATGTGACGCATGACGTAGCTACGCAGTTGGCATCAACTAACATACCACCTAGCTACACACTAGCAGGCAGTCTCTGTTGTTTTTGGTTTGGCTGTGTGCTGTGGATTGGTGGGAAACACGCAAACTTCAGACCCACTGGGGAGGCAGCTGGCTCCAACCAAGCGATGTCCTCCTCTACAAAAAAATTAAAAAAATACACACACACACACACACACACACACACACAAAGTCAGAACTCTGAAAAAGGAAAGACACATCAGCCTGAGCTCCAACTGGGTGAGATCATTGCTGTGGTAAAAAAAATATGGCTGTACTCAGAGAGACAAGTTTCTCACAAACACTTTCACACAGTAGATGAAGTAATAACGCAAACATACATGCGTACACAAGCATGACCCACGCGAACGCATGCATTCACATGAGCGCGCACGCATAAACATTTCCCCACTGCTACCAACACCACATCCTGTGTAAATATACATTTCAAAGTAAACACAGGGTGAAAGTCATTCGCTACCCAGCACAGCTACTTGTCTCATTCACAAAAACAATGGACCTATTGGAACATGGCTTGCTCCATGACATCATCCACATTTAGGAAGTGGTGCGCTCTCCATGCCGGAGTTATTGATTATTTAGTGAATGGAGAGAAACATAAGAAGAGTCACCAATTGTTTTTTAGATCAATATTCCCAGTACATGCATTTAGGTTGTGTAGCATGTCATTCAAGCAGATTATCTGCCAAATGCCCATCTTTCCTGCAATTAATTCCCCTAGTTTATGTTGAAGTCATCAAAATGTAGCTTTAAAATATGAAAAAACATAAACCTGCTTTGTGTCTCTGCTAACTGTGCCCTAATCTCACTTTAGCAAGCTTCTGCATAAGAAACAGATAAGGCAGAAAATCCTCTTCCACCCAGACAGCAAGCTCAGTAATTATTCTTTTATTCACCCTGTCCATCCCATTTATGGATTATTTTCTTTTCATCTCTCTTTCTGACCCTCCTGCAAATCATGTGACTACCCCTCACATGATTTGCAGCAATGTTACGGTGTGTATTGTGCGCGTGTGTTTGGTCTGCATACGTGAGGCTGAAAATAAGTCATCGTAGGAATTATTAGCATCATAAATCAGAGGTTCAGTAGAGGTGCTGCAGAAGAGCTGGAAAAGAGGGAGATGGGGGAGAGGGAGGGAAGAGAATGAATGGGGAGAAAGAGAGAAGGAGGATTACTGTTTGCAATTTTAAAGTACCTTGAATCTTTAAGAACGTGAGAGGGGGAGTAAAGCCTAGCAAAACCAGGAATGATGTGAAAAACAGAGAAAAAGGAAGGAAGGAAAAAACGAATAATATTTTAGAGCCCTTGGTGATGTCTTCAAATAACTCGTTTTGTCTAACCAATAGTCTAAAACCCAAATATTTTCATTTTACAATGATCGAAAAAAGAGAGAAAAAAAAAGCAACAATTGAGCAGCTGGAACCAGAAATTGTTTGACATTATGGACAATAGCCAATATATTTCTGTAAATCTGACTAATCATTTCAGCAGTGAAATGTTAAAAAAAATACTGTCTGTCTTGAGGTGGCTGGTGTGTGAAGAGATCACGATGGTACAGCATGACCCCTTACCTCGGAGCCTGCTTGATATGGTGTTTGTTCAAAACACACACACACACACACACACACACACAAAGATTCTTTGTACCCCAAATAGCAAGACAGCCCCCCTTGTTGACCACATGCTCCTTGCTTTTGTTGATTGCAAAGCAAAGAATGTACAAAACCATGATTAAACATGATGGTAATTTGTAAATGTAATTTTACAAATTGCCATCATGTTTTGTTAATTAAAATAATTTAAGAAGCACTGTTCAAAAGCCTTGGCAACCATTTCCTCTTCTTGTCTCTCACACAGTCCCCCCCAATGAAAACTCTGCAGCTTCCCTCGACACACACACAGATCCAGCAGCACTCATTCACATGTTATCACCCCCCCCCCCCATCTGCCCACCCACATACACACATATAAACATTATAAACATCACAGACACGGTGCTAGCTCCACTGACCCCAATAATACAACCACCCAAACAACAGCCAGCGCCATTGGCTGAGTCCTTCTGGGGAATCTGCCACTGTTGTCGTGGAAACAGCAGAAAAGCCGGGACAGAAATGGAAGAAGTGTGTCCTCTTTTCTTTCCCCTGAAGAAACGTAGGGAGAGCGAGCTGAGGAGACTGATTAAGAGGGAATCGCTGACAAGGGGTCTTTCATTAAGAAGGGTATGATGTCTGATCAAAAAAAGAGGGAGTCCCGGCTTCTGTAGACAATCAGCGAGATTGTGCTGATGATATCGAACATGGTCGTGAGTGCGCACACAGTACATGTGGGTGTGCCCAGCCTAAGCATGTGCTCAGTACATATCTCTGTGACTAATTGTGGAGCCTGGGTGCTTTCAGGGCAATCCTCGGCGTGTATGAATGACTCAGGGAAAAGCGCTAATCTCCCAGCAGAGGCAGAGAACTGTGGGGAGGAGAAGAATGGGGATGTGGGGATGCAGAGAAGAGAGCGGAGATTTGCCCGAGCAGCACGCCTCTGACGTCTCATTTCCCATCCTGACTGAGGCAGATTACGCTGTCCTTTCTGCACTGACACATTTGGGACGGATGCATAAGCCTCCTCTGGTGGATGTGTGTGTGATGTCGTTCCTTAAAAAGCTGCAGCCACCGCAATCGAGATGTTATTAACTCAACAAGGCTATTAACAGTCTTGCTGGGGCTCAATTATAAGTCTTAGTGTGCTTAGTGGACACTATGACAGGATAATAACTGTGGTAAATAAGGCCAGAGGATTGAAGTTGAGGTTCAGCTTTTTTTCAGTGGTGCTGGGTAAGAGAACGACTCCAGGGAAGCTTAAATATCAAAGAGTCATCACAGAGGCTTTGTATCCAGGCTGCATGCTTTCATACTTCCTCCTCTCCTTTCTACCTACACACATACCTGTGAAAATCTGATTACTTTCCAGTAAAGAAATGAGGAACAACTAGTATAATGTGACTGAGGAGATGGACACTTGACATGCTCATCAGTGACATCTGCTGACCAAACTGTGGAACGACAAGCAGCTTAAATTAGCCAGGGAGTTGTGAGGTGACGCACACCTGCCTGCTGTACACTAGGAAGCGGGTAACAAACAAAGAAACACCATGAAATCTAGATAGAAATGTTCCATTTTGGATCAAGGGGAACGTTTTTTGTTCAGATAAAAAAGAAAGAAACACAACACCACCACTGTCACACTACAAACACTCTTGCATACCAGTGAGCAGGGAGACTTTGTGGAAGGTGCCCTCCAACTTTCCCATGAGAATGTGCACGAAGCCATCTTTGGACAGATGCCCCGTCTCTTTGGAACTCTGGTCATACACCACCACTTCCTGCTTCCTGCCCAGCTCCACCTGCACAAAAGATGAACAACAAGGAAGAGAGGAGAGTTGATTTTCAGTGCTAATGTGGAAAGCATGTCAAGCATCCAGTACCGAAATGGAAGACAGAGATCGTAATCTGACTGGAATTATAGGAATGTAAGTGACATATTAGACAGTGTAATTTGCATTTGGGACAAGAGTGCGCACACACACACACACACACACACACACGACTGAACTGTGCATTGCAGTGCATGCGCAACTGGCTTTATTGATGCCATTGATGGCAACAGTAAGTAAGATGTACAGATGATACAGGTGATTCTAGAGTTAGTTGTAAGGTTATGAGGATAAAGTATAGGATTATGAATAATGCATTAGGGCTGAGTGTTGCACTGGGATACTGCTGAGAGAGTTGTTTGTAGTAATGGGAGGTAAATATCAGTAAAATCATAAAAGCTGAATACGTTGCAAAGGGTATGGGCATCCATCAATGCATCTGTGTGATGCTGTTATATCAGACTGTGAGAAAGATGAGAGGATATGAGCATGCGCCGGTGTGACGCATGTATGTATGTGTGTTTTGCACGAGAGAGTGTGAGCATGTGCGTGAGCCTGCACGCACACCAGCCAGGCTTGTGTTGTTCCCCATGTTGTCAGGCAGGCTTTGGTCATGTGACCATCAGGCAGTGCCTACTGCAGCTATGAATCACTGCATCACTGAACCGCCACTGGACAGGCGAGGAGAGAGGGAGGAGGAAGCAAGGCGAGAGGAAGGGAGGGATGAAGAGGGTGGAGGCAGTGGAGTAGTGGGGCAGGGAAAGATGAGACGAGATGGAGAAAGACACAAGAGGCAAATGAAGAGGAAGAAAGGGAAGGAGAGAAAACTGAGGTGAAGAAAAGGGGGCAGGTGGTGGAGGAGAGTCAGAAGATGGAGGGAGACAAGGATGAGATAGGACAACCCACTGCATTTTAGTTTACCTGAACATACAGCGCACCATGCTCATCTACGAGCTATAGAATAGCAACTAGCTTCCAGACAAAACTGCACTTTCTCCAATTGAGCCTCTCATCGCTTCTTCACTCTCTGTATGCTGAAAGGCACACTTGTGATGATAGCTCATGGGATACACAGCGTGCACAGAGTGTGCCTGATTTTGTTTCTGCTTATAGAGCAGTTGCAGCACAGCGCCCCGGCAAACTCCCATGCAGGTGATTTAGACAGGACAAGGTGAGGCACTGAAGTCTAGTTATAAGTAACTCTGGTCCAGTAAAAACACAGCTTAGCTCTACCCACCTGCATCCAGCACCAATGGCCTACAGAGGTCAACACTAATGTCTTCAAAGTTTTATCTGTTCACTGTCTAGATAATTGATTGAGATAATTGTTGCGCCTTGCTGGCCCAGGGGTTTAAAGCGCTGATCATAAACGGCAACATGCCTGGTTTGAGTCTGGCGCGGGATCTTTGTTACTCTCCATTTCACAATCCCCTTGTTCACTGTTGTTTACCCACTGTATAATAAAGGCATATAAACCCCGCCTCATCACAAACAATGATGACCTGCGATACCATCTGGTCCAGTATGTCTCGAGAGATATAATCAAATAAAACGGCACCAATTTGTAGGGCCTGGTGGCTGGTAGCATGCACTTGTCAGTGAAAGATTCAATGCAGTGCTACGAATCTAAAAAAGTGTTTACCCTATGTTTCCTTACCTTACCTGTCCATACTCACTATCTCTGTTTTAAATCCCCTACAGCACACCCTCCATCTTAACTAACTCTGGATAATTTTGGCAAATAATCCTAATGGGATCAGATCTAATTTGGGAACCTGATTTCAAGGGCAGAGGATTACTGGCCTTTAACTATACATACATGCACAGCACAAATACACACACTGTAAGGTATATGCAACGGCCCTGTTTGTCAGCTGTCTTCTGTGTATGTTGTCTGTGAAGCTATTCTGTACAAAATAAGTATTTTTCCTCTATATGTAGAAAGACCTACTGTCTCACGCTCTGGAATTACTAACGAGCACTTCCTTGAGGAACTTTACAGGGTTTATAATGATGTGTTGAAGTCATGTTACAAAAAAGCAGACGAATATTCAATTTCAGCAGGAAAGGACAGCGTTAACAGGCAGTTCAAATACTGTTGTCATCAGTATTTTTCACAGAAGTCCATAGTAAATGTGGAAGATTCAGCTAAGAGAATGAAATTACACCTCCGCTCGAACTATTTGAATGTGTTTCCTGCGAGTTAGAAAAGAAACAGCAGCCTCCATATCTAATGGAATTGTATGAATGAAAATAGCATGATATCAGCAATACTCTGCTTAAATAAATAAAGCTATACCTCCAGCTCAGCATGTGATATGCATTGAGTTTGCTGCAGTGCTAGAGGTCAACGACCTGAGCGTGGCGTAGCTGTCAAGACTGCAGCAGTAGTACAGATCTCTCATTCCTCTGCAGTGCTACAGCATCACTAATACTACTGTACTGGCCCAGGCGCTCTGACGCATGCACACTGCAGGTAAACAAGGAATGCCACTTGCAGAAAGAAGGAAAAGGGAGGGGCCATAGAGAGAAGGGTGAAACGTAAAGTGGATGTAAAAGGAAAGAAAGGCAAAAAGGAAGCCCAATAAGGCGATCAGAGAGAAAGTTGAGGCAGAGCCTATGTGCTCCTGCCTCAGAGGGAGGAGGAGGGGTGCAGGGAGGAACAGAAGGTGGCACTGGCAGACCAAATGCTACGATCCTGCTGCACCCAAGCTTCCTCTCTTAACGCATCTGAAGGCTGGCATCACAGCAGGACATAAACAAGGGTTGGTCACAGGGTGAGATGTTATTTCCCCCCTGCTGTTTGCAGAGGGCGACAGCAAGACGGATGGGAAGAGACTGCAAGATTGAGAGACTGAAGAGACATTGCGGCGGAAAGCCAGTAGCACAAGTGACAACAACATTTGTGTTAATAATGTGAACTGAGAAACAAAAGAAAGAAAATTAAGTGTAAAGTAGAAAGAATGGAGGTTTTGAGCAAGAAACACAGGCCTTTCACTGACCCTGTGTTATAAAATATACAAAGGCAGGGAAAAAAACAAGGTCTGACACAAGGATGCGAGGGACAGTCTGTAAACACACGCACACACACAAACACACCATTCCACCATCATCTGTGGAATTGTGGAAACAAAAAGCTGCTGGCTTACAGTAAGTGCTTGGGTAAGAAAGTGAAACATGGTTTCCCCTGACATCAGCAGTGCTACCGACCAGTGACAAGGTCAGTGTTGAGCGGGACAGTATGTGTGTTTGTGCATGAACAGTGTATAAATGGTCCCACATTCCTCTCTGGGATGACCCTGCAGTGTGGACTAACAGTGTAACAGAATAGGAGAAGAAAACACATGATGCATTTTGATGTCAAAATCTTTTTTTTAACAAGGGCACAGTGTGCAGGAGACCTTGCACCTTTCTATCAATTAATCCTTTGCAGAAAATACTGCACATATCATTCTTTCATTCACTTATTATTGCTGGATTTGTAGGCACATCTTCACGTGGCTTATTATCCCAATCTGGCTACAAACTTGCTTAGCGGTTGGGCACTGCTAAACATACAACACCTGACACTACATACAGTACATTACATTTTAGTAGAGGACCTGCTGTAACAGGCAGTGACCTCTCCTAGCAGTTCATCCGTGAGTTTAAGACTCTGCCACACAGGGTGCAACATATACCACTGTACAGATACCACCCCGGGGCTAGATGATGTCATTTACTGGCACTGGCAGCTGCCACTTCCATGTATGCTTGTGTAGGTGTGATGCATATGTCACAGGGTTCCTGTACTTCTATCGTTATGAGGACCGAACACAAAGTCTGTGAGTGTGTGTGTGTGTGTGTGTGTGTTTCGGACAAGGATGTGAAGATGTGGCAGGGTGGTGAAAGTCCCTGATGCCTCTGTGTATGTGCAGTGTGAGGTCATCACTGACACTTTCAAAGATGTGGTCACCTGATCTGGTCACACCCTCACAACACTGAATGTCAGAGGACCTTTAACACACACATGCTCATACCAGGTCCCATATACAGTAAGCTACACATTCACATGCAAGTAATGCCTGTAGACATTTACATAGAAGTATATCATTTCCGTGTCTATCTGTCCCTCTCTGTCACACATACATATTCAATTGTTGTCTATAAAGAGCACATGCACACTGTAGATCCGGTTATATCACATCACCCTCCTCACTTTGTACATAATGAAAGCCACATTTCATAACTGCAAATCATCTATTAATCATTCCCCTCTGTCTTTTGATTTACATCCATAAATTAAAAATACATTTTTACAATGTTAAATCTTTATTCAGTGTGTGTCTATGTCAAACAGTAGGATCTCTAACGCAAACAATGATTCAGAACATGACATATCCTGCTCTGTGGAAAAACCTGCCGCCAGTCTTTGTTTGAACTTGGCAAAAATAAATATGTGAATGAAACATACGAAAAATTCCCGGAGTTTGCCCTCTGGGTAATCTGGGAATAAATTCACACACTGAGTCATCAAGTTCTCATTTCTGCTGCTAATGTCAAGGCAGATGACACATGAAACGCTCATGTGTTGTCCTTTATTTTGGAACACTGCACTGTAGTTACTGGAAATGTCTGTGTCTACAACAACACTATTATGAGGCCGTACAGTGTTTTCCGAAGGCATTAGCTAGGTCTTTGTCCTGTATCTGACATGACCAAAAATTGTTTTGTCATTTATTTATTTTTAGACAATCTAAAGAATACTTGCTCTTGATTCTTCTAAATTATCCTTGAATTTCCCATCACGTATCATTACAGCCAGCACCCTTTCAAGGGGGATAAACACAGCATATGGTGTGCCATAAGTGGAATTGAGGGAGATCTTCTTCAATGCATAAATGCATTAGTTGGTTATGTGCACTAGGTAGCAGGGCACTCAGCCAGTCCTACCAATTAAAATCACAGACAAGATCACAGACCCATCGCCTGCCTCTCCTTATTGCTACGTGGACCTAGACCAAACAATTATAATTGGGTTCCTGTTCATTATCATGACTAATATGTTGTTGTTGTAACACTTGAAGACATACTGGGTAATTACAGATGTAGATGTAAACAGTGCATATAAGTCACTATGTAAGTGCTATCCAACTGTCATAAAGGCATGACACTACTGATGAAGCATAAGAGTATGTTTGCAACTAACAATTATCTTCCTTTAATCTGCTCATTGTCTTTTCAATTAGTCTTTTAATTTTAGACCGCAGAAATTTATTTAAATTTTAAATTCCCTTAAATTGCTTATTTATTCTGACCAACACTACAGAAATCACGAGGTATTCACTTCAGCAGCAAATCATCAAATTTGAAAAAAGCTTGAAACAAATACATTTTTATCTTTATAAATTACCAAAATTATTATTTTCTTTTCACAAACCATTGTGGGTTCATTTTCGGTCTGTTGAGCTTATTGATTCATTGACCAATTGTTTCAAAGCTACATCGGTATAAGTGATTCCCACTATTAGTTAATTTGTTTAGTCAATGGCCAAAAATATCAGTCCATCTAGGAAATAGGGATACGCCGATCCAACTTTTTCTTAATCAGTACTGATTCTAGGATGGGGCCACATACTGTATTTGTTCTCCTCTACCACAAAAACTACGAAACTAAGACTTGAAACATGCTTGCAGCTATAAATATTTAAGTTCCACCACATTTGACATCTGTCTCTATGACTGGGCTGCTGTATTCTCCCTACTACTCTGTGTCCCATTCACCAGAGGTCTGGCGTTCATGCCGGTAGTGAAAACCTCTGGTCCATCTGTCAGGCCTGCCTGGCCGGCTGTTCCCATCACAGCAGCGGGGATTAGGCAGACTTAAGCCAAGAAACCAGCCGCCTGCCCTCCAGCCTGTCAGAAACGGCACGAGGAAGCCCCATTGCCGACTAAGCCTGTGCCATCCCTCTCCCAGCAGAGGTCCACCGCCACCTAACCTACTGTATCCAGCTCTCTCTGACCTACATTAATAGAGAGCATTATAAAGAGGTTATGAAGGGATGGGAATGTGAAAGGGAGAAGAAAGAGGACACCATTTTGATTGCTGCTGCGCTGGTCATGGATGTTCATTCAGCTCAGTTAACTGAAGCATTGGGAGCGTCTATGAAAGAGGGTGAGTGCAGCGCCTTGGGGGATGCAGGCTATTAGTGCTCAATGGGATGTGAGGCGGGAGGCAGCCGGAGAGGAGGAGGAGGTAGCAGCCCATCCATGAATACCCTCAGTGCTGATCTCCCGCTTCCTGCATTCACTTCCCCAACAAAGAGCCACAATGGTGTCCTTTGCTGTCTTGGCTGGCCGAGGCAGCTCCTGGCGATGCTCAGAGCCATGTGGGGGGTAGAGACGATAGTGTGCTGTGTGTGTGTGTGTGTGTGTGAGGGGTTAGCTGGGAGCCGGCTTTAACACCACACAGCCAGTCTGCACGTGCCCAGCCCGCGGCCTGCCAGTGGTCGCACAAAAGGAATGATGTCATGCTTAGCCAATAACAAAAGAGTCTGGGTCCGTTGGGCCCTCCTCTCTCACACGGCTAGTTCCAGCTTTATCCAGCCTAGCGTTAATCACAGGCCTTATCCTCTTTACTGGGGGTGGGGGATGGATAATAACAAACCAGCCATGGGGCAACACTAGATAGGGAGAGGAAGAGGAAAGGAAAAAGGAATGACTGATGAAGGAATGTGTCGGTGGTGGGGAGCTGCAGGCTATGGTTGAGGGAGACAGACAGGTGGGCAGACAGAGCTGTCATGAGATTGAAAGCGAGAGAAATCAGGAGGAAGCATGGCTCTATGGGGTGCCACAGTGTGAGACCTGCCGACCACAGGGCCCCACACAGAGAGGGACCCGTCAGACCCAGCACAGAAACACACTCAACCTGGCTGCACTGACTGAAGTAAGGAAACTCAAAGTCTGACTAGATCCAAAACTTCTCACTCTTCACAGCTCTCCAGCTCCAGGTCTTTCAACCTCTCCAGCTTTTCTTTGCAGTCTAAATCTGTAGACTGCAAGATTGGGTCATGCTTCACCACAAACCAAAATAAAACCATTTTCTGCGCAAATCTGTTCGGGATGAGTCTTAGATGCAGGGTCTCTCGTGTAGCCTTCAGGCTTAGCTGCTCCTTTTGTGTCCATGTACATGTAACTCAGGCTGGCAGGATTTATTAATACAAGAGGTGTTATACAAGATCCTTGTAGTAGTACTTTTTGGGTGAGAAGAAAGGCATGTGGGTTTGACTCCCAGAAGCTCTTGCAATAAAGCTGAATTAAAACTAATTGCTATAACTGAGAGTTGGTGAGAAACAGCAGGCGCATGGGGACTCAGCCAATGTACCAATTATACGGACGCTATTAGCTGAACTGAAGTAAATTTTACTTGAGAAAGTAACAATAATTCACAGTTCTCCTCCGTTTAACCATCTGACCATAAGGAAAGTGTCAGTCACCTACAAGTGTTAACTGTAATCCAACAGGAGCAGCAAGCAATAATCTAAACCAATAACGAATAATTATTTGCCATTTGGAGGGCAGGGCGTGTTTTGGTGATTAAAGTTCTCTAGCTGTGTAGCAAATGGAAATACAACTCGTGGAATGATACAGTATCTACGGGACATTAAATTGGAGCAGGTAATAAATCACATTCATAAGTAGGTTCAACACAGATGCGTTACAGATCTCTCCAAACTGCTCCTGGCAACCAGGAAGTCAAATAACAAAAATACAGCAACAGCATTTTATGGACTGCCATTCAAACCCAATGTGTCACACCTAAAAAAATGTTTATGGCACTGGGCGTGGTTAAAAGTTAAATTAATAACTAAAATTTACATTTGGAGAATGACAGCAGCCAAGAAGAGGAATTTGCATTAAACTGTATGGGTGATGTATGCGCAGTGCACACATGGACTACATGAGGCCACAAAAACACATCCCACACATGAAACACACAAACTCCCCCCAGTTCTCGCTAAGGTTTCCCCTCTCAGGGTTCCTTCAGTTTCACACAGTGACTAAAAATACAGGAGTCAGCGTGCCATGGATGGACAGGCCATGGAAAAAAGGCTGCCATATTCCGAATAGAAGTCATGGAAAACACGAGGATCCGATTTCAGGGCCACTGATAAGCAACAAACATACAGTACACCCGCCTGCCAGCCAAATATAGCCCCCAGAGAGGAGGCCAATCTAGAGCCACAGCTGTACACAGGTCAGGCTGTGTGAAATGTTCTAAGAAGCCCATGGGGGTGTTAGTGAGTCTTGCTCAAGGACACTTCAGCAGGGTGAACATCATGGGAACTTGAATCTGAGACTTCTGGTTCAAGGAAAGCTTTTGCTCCTACTATCACAACTTGTTGCATCTATCGTATCCCTGTATAACAAAGAACACAAACTGTACTTCCTCTCCATTACATACGTGACACAAACAACTAAAATTATAGTAAAGAGTATACCCTAAACTTTAACCCTTAAACACAGATCTCTAGACTTATTTCCTGTAGCTCTATGTCCATTTAAACAAAGAACAAAGAAAAGCAAAGAAACAGGATATTTTGTCAAACAAGTCCTTGCTGTACTTAATGTTTTGCATTCCTGGGCTGATTTTGCTGCTTCTGCCGAAACTAGCAAGTTTATGCTGACTAGTCCCAACGCACTGTACTGTAAATGCACCATTTCAATTCCCAACCCTCATTTGCAAGAAGAGTCACAATGTTTTTCTTTGTATGACACAGGGAAATGTAGTAAATTCTAAACGTCTACCCATGCACTGTTAAAAAACAAAATAAAACAACAATTAGACCGTTTTACAGGGATTTCATGCTGGATTATTAAGTAGGTAGGGATCCAGTGTCTTGCCCTTATCAGAAAGGTGGAAGCTTGCCACTCAGATACTTTGAATCCAGTCTGGCGCTTAAAAGTAAGGCTCTCTAATCACTGGCATCACATCCTACTATCCAAAAAGCACCAACTGTCAGGTCTGTTGAGCTTTAACTCACCTTGACCTTGCCGTTGGGTTGCAGCAGCTCAGTGACGGACACCTTGTCCTGCTGCAGCCGCCTCTTCACCAGCTTGGAGCAGCAGACGTTGACCGCACCTTGCACGTGCGACGCATTGTACTCCGAAAACGTCCTGCTGTCAATCACCAGCAAACGGCCCGTTCCTCTCTGGATGAGGCTCGCCAGGCGCTTGATGTCCATGGCGCTTCGCTTAGTCGGCCCTTTCTCCCCTGCCATGATGTAGGAGTGGAGTGGTCACCTTGCGTCACAGGCGCCAAGAAGAAAGGGATGGGGTGTGGAGGAAGAAGGGCAGATGAGAGAAGGAAAGGTGGAGGAAGAGATGGGGAGGAGGTGAGGTCAGTGGAGGGGGGCTACCAGCGGAGCGGGCACTGAGAGATCCATGGTGCCTGAAAAAAAGAAGAAGTGTTTAGTTAGAAATGACACTGGTGTAAGAGAGCATGGCATTCAATTGTTTATTTCAATGCTAGTATTGGCCTGCAGGGACATTCAAAACCGCCAGTGTCACTTTGGAGATGCTGATGACGAGACAGCTGATGATCAGACATCAAGGGCATGATCACCTCTTATCCTGAGCTTCAGTCCACCCATACCAGTGCAATAAATACAAAGGGACAAAGACAGATTTATTTTGCCTTCATTTTCCAAACGACAGTCAGGTGCGCATTGTATTTTTGTGCATTTGTATTATCTTTTATTGGCAGACTTTGAATACTAAAATAGCCACGATGCTGAACATGAATATAAAAGTTATTTAAAGGCTTAAAAGCCAACTGGATCATCCGCCGGGATTTATCAGTCCCGAGATCTGAGGGAGTATCACACATCCAAATACAAAGCCAGAGAATCAAGTTAGACATGCACAACGCGCGTGTGTGTATTTGTATAAGTGTGTGTGTGAAGGTTGGTTGTTGTTGATTGAGGGTCTCTTGTGAGGTAGTTCATGAAACAGGAAACTGAGGGCGTGAGATAAATTAAGCCAGGGGAATTCAGAGAGCAGGTCTGGACACAGGCAAACAGCCTGTGTGACATCCTGTGTATGTGTGTGTGTGTGTTACAGAGAGTCGTCCATAAACTTGATGAACTGCCTCCTCCTATCTATCACTACTAATCACTGATCTCCCCCCTGCTCACATTTGCCACAGCGCTTGTACATTTAACGTGAGACACCCACAATCACTTATGGGAATTGAAACTTCGCGGACTGCATGGGTGTGTGAGAAAAAGTGCGGTAGGCTAAATATGAGCCTCACAAAAACCAGTGTGATTTGTTTGAGAGAACATAAAAAATAAAGCCTTGTGTAGGTTGAATACCATTTCCTTGGTCAACAAGGTGTCATGCAACAAGTGAGAAGGTCAGAGTGTGAATGCAATCGTGTTGTTTTATTCATCTTCAGGCACATGGTGTCATGAAAAATGTATGGGCCTCCTCTCATTTACCCCAAAGCCTAAATGGAGGTTGAAAAGGGAGAGTGCGACAGATAGAGGCGTAGAAACAGATAGTGGAGGGAGATAAAGTAGAAAAACAGAAAAAGCCTTGGTGTAATTTAACAGAAGAAACACACTAACAAATTAATCAGATCAGCAACGCATATATGCCCACTTCATGACGACTAAAATTTAAGAGGTGAAACGACAGGGGGAAATGACAAAATATCAAGCAAAAACTAATGTGTCATGTTATGATTATAACTCTTTATGTAGGCTACAAGAAACAGAAGAGACCTATGTGAAGCAGGAAAACATTTTGCACACAAGAACAGTGGCGAGAAGGTGGGAGAGAAAACAGAGACTGAGAGAGAGAGAGAGAGAGAGAGAGAGAGAGACTGTGTTCTGATCGTTAGTGTCTTGGGAAGACGTCCAGGCAGCTATGCAACTTTTCACCTCTGTTCTGAGAGGGGGGAGCGGAGAGAGGAGGGTAGAGGTAACGGAGGATGTTATTCAGTGAGGATCTCTCTAGCCTAGCAACTCAGCCAGCTCGAGGTAAGGGAGGGGACAATTGTGAAGATGGAGCTGGGGAAGAAACAGATGAAGAGAAAGAGACTGATTGAGAGAAGCGGGAAACATAAAGGGAAACGCGGAGTGACAAGAGAGAGAAGGGGAAAAAGAGAAATCGCTAACATGCTCACAAACTAACTTCAAGCTAACGTAAGACGTGGATGTGGTGTCGATCATGTAATCACATGACAAACACTTTGCGGGGTCATTCATAACAGCATAGGCCATGCATCATTCCTCTATGGATCTGCAAAATGATCATTTTCCATCAGCTAGACTAAGGCCCCTTTTTCCTATAGGCTGCTGTCCAAGCCTGAACATAGCATGTACCCACGCTGTTGCTTCCTGGCAACCCGCCGGATACACAGGAACATGGAAGAAAGAAAATAGACAGTAGCAACTGCCTGTTTACACACAGCCAAACTGCTGCTGAATAAGAAAGTAGCTACAGTAAAGGCATGTGCAGACACATAGAAGCCATAACAGACAAATCTTGGTTAAAGGAAATATAGGATAGTAAAGTCAGTCAATGAAAACTGAAGTTGGTACACACACCACTCTGCACAAACATAATGCACCTTACATTGCATCTTAAGAAAGCAGCACATAAAATAATGCATAATGCATATCTAATCTGTCTGTGTCATAGTGATGACTGAACACAGGTTTCTGGATTAATACTTTGAGCAAAGTGCAATTTTGTGACCTGCAGCGACACAGCACATAAACACACTGACATAGTGACACTTCCACACTTTTCCCAGCAGCCATTCTGCAGAAATACAAAACCTAGCTGCAATGCTCCCCTACCACAAACAGCCCTTGCCATATAATGACCTGCCCCATCACCTGTTATACCGTACCTTATATGGTGCGGAGCCCTTTAGCCGAGCCGCAAACAACACAGCTTCCAGGGGTGTGAATCTTTCTCTCCCCTTTTTCTGTTTCCCTGCTGCTGTGCACAACAACTGATGCCGCATATGTCTAATGGCGCCCGCTCTCCCACCCGCCCAGGCTCTCTCACTTTTTCTCTCTGAATCCCTCCTTCCTCCTCTATCACTCTCTTTCTTGCTCTTGAGCAGTGCAGTGAGCGGGGACGGGAGAGGGGAGGGGTGTGCAGGTTTACATGTGTGGCGAGGGAGAGACCGGTGCTCTGCAACTCTCTAAGCGGCTAGACAATCATCCTTACGATAACCTCGCTCTCAGTGGACCCTGTTTGTGTGGGCAAGAAGGGGAGGAGAGAGAGAGGAGATAACAGGAGGATGAAAAAGACACAGAGACAAAGACAGAGGAGGAAATATCAGAATATGGAAAGGGAGAGAAATAAGATGACGAATGATGCAGAGAGGGAGCACAGACCTCAGCATGCTCACTCAGCATAACAATCACAACCCGACCCCTTATGCAAAATCATCTTCCCTCCTCTATCTTGCATCCAGGCACGAACAATAAGGAGCAAAAACAAACAAGCTCCTCAAATCTAAAACAGGCAGCAGCCAGGAGCTTGCTGTGAGGCTCTGGCTGAACAGAGGAAAACAAGCCGAGAGGAGGGAAAGCGGAGAGACAGAGACAGCGTGTACAGGCCCGGAGCAGATTCTGTTGTTGCCATAGAAACAGCCCGGTTGGGGTGAGCAGGGGGCACGGGGAGGGTGATGGTGATGGGATGCTACTGGTGCTGACGCTGGATCAGGATACAAGAGGAGAGAGAGCTAAAACTGAGAGAGCAGGGAGAGAGAGAGAGAGAGACAGCTGCATGACTATGTTGAAGTTTTCCTATTCCCCTTAAATACCTAATGGTGAGATTTTACTGTGAGGTAGTCTACAAGTTGTTGATTAAAAAGATTTGTTCTCTCTGATTTGTTCTCTGCTGTTTCAGTCTGACCCATTCTACTTCACAAATTTAGCATGAAGTATTTTTAATCTATATCTGTCCTGAGCTGGTTGAAAAACAACATCCTACACCGCTTTTCAAAAGAAGAAAAAAACACAGTCCATGTGCAAACAAGTGCACATGGTCAAAAGCTGTAGGCGGACAAGGTCTTGCGCACCTCCTTACAGTTGAAGTTATGCAGTTACTCCTTGACTACAGGCTGAAGACAGAAGAACCAGATCAACTGGTCAATACTAAAGGATTTGTTTTAGCTTGTTGGTTAATTTGAATATCTGAATTTAACTTCAGTGGCCCTAAAGCATTGAAACTTGTATCATTAAAAGCATGAGAACCATGAGTGCTAAAGGTACATGTATGACTAAGCTGTATTTGTACAGAGCTGACACATGTTTCAACCCTAACCACAGAAAAAGTATGAAGCAAGCATATCCTTGACATTCTTATGTCTAACTGGATTTTTAAAATCAAACTAAACATGTGCAATATTTTTTTTTCTTCTTGACTATTTTTTAACTCTAACTGATTAAAGTATTAATCACATTACTTAACAACTGACTTGATTACAGATTACAGTTTTAGAGGAATGTATTTGAAACATGACTGCAATACCTTATTCTAACTAGACAGGAAATCCATACATTCCCCTGACTTGTCAGGTGGAATACAGCCACACAAGTCATCAACAGACCGAACTGTTATTCTCTTTACAGCTGATAAAAAAATACTGGTAACAAAAACAATCTGAAAAAACAAACTTGGGGAAGTAATTTTATCTCTGTAAAATGGGTAAACCATGCGGACATATCCATAGGCCTTCATACAAAACCATGAGCTGAGCATGATGGGCCAGCTCAGTAATGCCATATCAGACATCAGCAAGAGAGGCAAACACAAAGAGAGCAACTGGAGGGCAACCAACGCTGATGTAATACCATCCAGGTCATTCATTAACTCCCTGCATAACGTCACCTGTGGCCAGAGCCATGAGTAGACTGATATAAAGCTGGCTCTTAGTTTGACACAATGAGAGACGTTAGTTTTTTGTTTAGACCACAAACAGTTACATCATAAGAGCATGCTGTTTACTCTGGCCACAGGCTCTCTCTCTTAAACTAAAAGTTTGCATCTGCGTGTGTTTACACTCTGTCTCTTTTGAGTGTATATGTGTCATTTACACATTTTAAAAAAATGCTACCACATGAGACTCTGCAGGCATTCAGGCCAACACCATCAACACAGGACCTCTGCAGGATTATAGGGTCAGTGGAGAATTTAACACCAATTAAACTCAAACCCTAGGTGCTGTGTAAAAATTTCCTGTTTTGTCTGACTAACAGTCCAAATGATGTTCAGTTTACTATCATATAAGACAGAAAAGCAGCAAATCATCACAAGTGAGAAGCTGGAACTGTGTGTGGTAATTTTCTAGACAAACAAATGACAAATGGTTAATCAATTATCAAAATAGCTGCAAATTAATTTTCTGTCAATAGACTAATCATGATTGCTTGTTTCTACTCGAGTGTTTGATTCACAATTTAAAACTTAACTATCAACCTGATTTCACATGCCATGTCCCATCACCTCATCCACAGAGCAGGCACACTAATCAGATAACATCCATATCCAGTGTTTTTCACACTGGAACTCAATCTATCTAAAACACTTATTTTATGGATGCCTATGATATGTGGTTGATAGCAATATAGTTGATGTGCCTGAATTATGTAAATAATAAAAATATGTCGATCAGAAATAGGGTTAGTAGAGTCACTAGTCTGGGTTTTGTAATACAGAAATGGCACAAATGAACAAAACGGTGCAACATGAGTGGTGCTGTTACAGTGATCATGTAATTTGGAAAAATCAGTTCCTGGTTGGCCCTGGTGGACCAGACGCATCTTCACACTGTAAACAACATGACCAGGTATAAAGCCTTCAGGTGCCCTTTAATCAATAGGCTACTCTTTTTTTAATGGGCTGCTGCAAATTGCGGGGTCATACAACAAACCGGGATTACCCGGGAATCTACCATAACAATAATCACACATATAATAATATTACCAAACAATACCAAGAATACCTGCCATGAAATACACCATATGGCGAATAGTAGCCTATACTAATAAAATTTAGAAAGTCGTTCCCCAAAAACTGCACATCTTTAGATATAGTGACCAATATAGAGATAGGATGCACAAAGAAATAGATGGGACACTGTGGCCTGTTTGATAACGTTAATAACAATGATGGAGGGTGAGCCGTCGTATAGCGCACTATAATAACCCGACCTAGATTGGAAATAAGAATAGAACACAAAGGGGACAGCGGTCATTGCCGCATCGCATAATTAGTATCAAGTAATGTTAAACAACAGGCTTATGGAAAGATTCACTGTGCGTTGTTTGAGTGGGGAAACCTGCCCTGTGTTGTTATGACGCGTGGATATTTCCGCATGCGAAAATGAACCACTCCATCGATCAGACAGGCTGTGATGATTGTAAAGCAGCAGCGCGCAAATTAAACTAAACACATAGATAAATAGGCTACATATAAAAAAAAACACGTAGGCCTATTTTACCTACCTTGAAATGGTCGTACGGTAAAAGGATCAGATGATTGTCAAAATAAAAGAAGCGAGAACTTCAGCCAGGACGGGTTTAATTCCCATTATAAGACGGGCGCGCACATACAGGGGGGGAGTGCGCGCTGACGGACTCACCGCAAGGGGGGGCGGGGGGGCTAACGTAAGCTAGCTCTGTCGGTAGCAACGCACTTGATAAATAACAGTACATCTCGTTTCTACCAATCGATACACACAAGCACTCACCTCGGGCTCCACGCGGCTCCTGTGTGTTATTCAGCTGGCCTCCATGTGTGAGGGGACCGCGGCGGTGTCTTCATGAGGCTGGCCGGTGTTTACCTGGCTGTGTGGTGTGGCGGGGACAGACAGTGGTACAGCTGACAGAGGGTGACAGCGCCAGGAACAAACGAGACATGAAAGCGCGGCGATACGCTACAACACACCGCTGGTCGGCTCGTGGATGGACAGATTAGCTTTGCTAGGCTAAGTTATAACACAAATGGTTAGTGTGTATGTGTGTGTGTGTTGGGGAGGGAGGGGGGGTAGTTAGAGAAGGTGCACTTTAGCACTTTCTTGAACTAAAGCGATGAGGTCATGGTTCAGCAAGGAGAGGAGGAAAAAAAGTATGAGGTTGACGTCACCTCCAGCCAATCAGCGCAGACGGCTCAGGGGCTGGGTGACGTCAGCGTACTGATCCAGCAGATTAAAGGGACAGTTTGGCTTTTTTAAAGGAGACGCGTTCATGAAGCGTGCAGTCAATCTCCTGCCATGGCGATGCACCACTGATGCAAAGATCACCACGAGCGTCATATGGTGCTGATGATTAAGTACTTATAATCAGCGTTGGTCAAGTTGGGTCGTTTCCCCATTAAGAAAGACGCTGTGCGCACATGGATTTGTTTTTCTGCTGGCAAAATGTTTCTTGGTGTTTGGGAATTATAAAAAAAAACACCACTTGATTTCAGGTTAAAATGCGTTGTAACCAGCCTTACTGAGATTGTAAGGGGTATAATATTACCGATTTTTAGTAATGCGTTATATTACAGTTAGCTTACAGCAAAGAGCAATAGGCGACATTGTAATTGCCTTGCAACGCGTTACGCGTAACACTGCTTATAGGCTAATAATAATCAGCTTCTTGTTGCTTTGATTTACTTATAAAAAAGTGTGTTTCTATGTGTTAACCCTTAAACTGTTTTTCTTACAGATTATTAGTCCTTAAAAAAAGATGCAGATGCTAATTGTATTGTGAAAATAATTTCTATAGCCCTTGTTCTTAAATTGTTATTTATACTGTGGTGCAGGGACTAATATTGATTTGATTTTATTATATTTACATCACATGATCTGACCACATGACCTTTTTAATTTAATTGCACCTAATACACTAAGCCTCAGAGCTGTCCTTCTGTGTTAGCCTGTGTCTATAAGCTGACATGTACAGTAGGCCTACAGTCTCCTTTAGATAATCATAATGATTTAAAGGACCTAAACACCCACACAGGTGTGTTCAATTATTCTGGCTGATGAGACCTCTAATTGGTAGACACTCTGCTGGGAATTACATGATGTTGCCAAACTGTGAACTAAGAATAATGATTTAGGTGTAATTTGTAACAACAAAACTAACAGGAGGTGTAAATCAAGCACAGTCTGTACAGCTCACACAGTCCTGAGAAGATCTCTAATCAGGGGACATCAAGCAAACACCTGTGTGGGTGTATTATTGGCATGTAGGGGATTTAGTAGAAATAGGTCAAAAAAATTCTGGTTTACAGAATGAACATTGATTTATCCACATGATCACATTCTCACTACCATGAATAGAACGGTTGTAATAAGTGGGTGTCGGTGTTTGAATTCAGTATTATGAATTCTCTTTGATTGAAAGCCTTTTGTTCTGTTCCTCTGCCATCGAAATGCAATAGTGAGTAAGCAGATGAATGCAGAGTGACAGAGCTGTTGGCAGGCAGTCTGTGCAATTACATTGTATATAATGACACCTAGTGGTACAGATATTGAACTGCATTCTGTGGTTCAGGAGAGAACTGATGTGGGTACAGCCAAGGTAACATGAGTTCGTAGATTCAAATCTCTTATCTATATTTTCATTACAACCTTTACATTTAAAATTCAGATAGCAATTTCCACAATAATTTGATTTTACAGATGCACTGGCTTAAAGGGAGGAATGTGTTATTGTGTGACCGAGAGAAAGAGGGTTAGAGGGAGTCAGAGAGACAGCAACACGGATTCATGAAAATCTACCTTTATTTGGATGCAAAAACTCACAACTTAAAGCGTTACTGTAGCAGAGGAGAGGAATACTAATTGCTGGTTGGTTGTATGTCTGACTGTTTGGCTATTTCGTCATCCCCATTTTGATCAGAGGAGGAGCAGGTAAGCTTTGAAAAGAAGCACTCAAAATAAAAGCTTTTCAGTTAAGTACACTGGACATTATCAGAGGATTATGTCACAAGTCTGAAAATAGATGGTTGCATTTCTTATCAATCTCAGTCCTAGTTTCCTGTAAAAGGTCATTTTGGCAGTTTAATTTGCTAGTTGATTTGATGTTTATAAATTGGTCCGAGTTCACATAATTAATTTCATCCTCTGATAATGTTCATGACTGTTGATCTGATGCATTAAAGTCAAGATAGAAGTTGTTTGAGTGTGATTTTTGTTACTTATAAAACTGTCTTCACTGTTTTAGCTGCCTTACACATAGCAATTATTTCTCGTGTTGTCAACTGAGAGGGGCCTAGAGTCACAGACAGAATCGAGTGGGGACTGCGTAAAAACTCAGTCTGAGGTAAAATTCTCCAAGAAAACCATAAAAACATACACAGAAAGCAAAGCATATTAAAGCAAAGCCTAAAGGCAGAAAGTAATAATACTGAAGACTGAACATAATCTACTTATTTTCTATACTGTAAGGTAACTTAGGTAGTTGTCACATTTTGTTCTGTCAAATCTTGCAGTATAAACCAATGGTTTGATCCACAGTATGAGCTACATTCCATCATGGTGTAAACGGAAATATACACAAGGCATCTACTCGAAAGGATTGTATCAAAATGTTCTAAAAATATCTCTGGTTGGTTTCACAAAAGCAAACTGTATCAAAAGCATTGGCCGAGAGCAAGCAATATAATAGGCTTAAACCCTTTTACACAACAAAAAGCAGGACAACCAATCACGTCGCTTTGATTGTGGACCTATGGAGTCCCATACAGCACATGCAATCCATTAAACTCAACACAATCAAAACACAATACAGAAAAAAAAAACTTTTACAGCTGAACATCAGAGACAACCTTAGTTGGTCTATTGTGCTTCATACAGATTAGGTCTGGCCTGTCTATACAACAATCATGGGCTTCTAACTTCACGGATGTGTTCAAGCTACTGTTTAAAGCAGAGGCATCACAGATCATCACACTCTGAGGGCGCTAAGCTTCATTATAGTAATGGAACATTTACAAGATAATCAATCTATGGAGCATTTTTTGATGCAATGTTTTGCTTTCCTCTGCATTACACTTCCCTGTGTGTATATGTCACATTCTCCAGAGCTTTGATTGGTCTTTTCATTGATTTTTATTGACGGTCTGATTCTATTCCTGGCCTCTGTCCCCTCAGTGTCAGCGGCTCTGTGACGCCTCTGAGTGTACGTCTATGTGGCCTTAATGCAGGAGTTGTTTACTGTAAACATTATGGGCCATGAGGACTGCACAGGCAGCATGGTAAAACTGTAATACTGTAGATTGCACAGAAATCCTAATTATTTAATTAATAACCTAATTGTTATACATTCCTATGTTCCATAACATTGCACATGCCTTTAATGAACACTTAGCACCATGCAACCTGAAGATGAGGTGGCTCCTGAACGCATCAAAAGTTGAAACAGGCCCTCCATAATGATTTTTTTACATCAAAAGTCAGAGTCAATGAGAGTCAACAAGAAAAGATATGAGTTAACTTATGTTTTATGTGGACTTTTACATCTATACAGTGTTTAATATTAGGCTGGCATTTGATCACGTCTGTAGATTGAAATTATGCTGGCATTTGTAATGTAAAGGGCCCTTATTATTGATACTGAATTTGAATTTCCTCCTTACAGCAAACTGACACTGTCGCAGGTGATCTGATTATACTTCAGCTCCAGTTAAACTTTTTGATAATGGTACATATAGTATGTGCGGGGGCTATTTCAGACTAAGTATTAAATGAGGTCTTGACGACCTCAGCACTGCAAATGAAATGATGTCAGGAGTGTGGGCTTGGATTATTTCTGGATTTTTGGGGGCTATCTCAAATCCTAACCCCAATGTTTGTTCTGCTCAAGACATACAATAAGCACAGAATTCATGTCAACCATTCAGTCCTGTCTGAGCGATCCTGTCTTGGGTGGAAAGGTTAACATGGTAAGAACTTGTTAAAGGGTGAGATTGAGATGATGCTAGGTACAGTGGTGTGTACCACCAGAGGCGGTACAGTGTACAGTGGTGTGTCTCGGTCTGGGTGTGGCTGTATGGTGCTCACTCTACTCCTCAGCAGTGTGAGACAGTTGTTTCTCATACAAGCTGAGAACATGATGCACAAACTGGTACTGCTCGCACGTCTGGATCATCCCACCCCTGAGAAACACACACAGAAAGACAAGCACAATAATTCAGATAGAAAAAAGCTACTGTTTTTTCAAGCCACACAAACGATGGGGCTCTCCAGATGATCAGTCTGTCCACCACTTTGGTCCAGATTGAGATATCTCAATAACTATTGGATGGATTTCTATGAAATGCCTCAGGCTGAAGCAGCACCATCATCAGGACAAAACTGCATGCTAACATGCTAACATGCTAAACACCAGGGTGACCATGGTAAACATTGAGCCTGCTTAACATCAGCATGTTAGCATTTCTGTTGTGAGCATGTTAGCATGTTGGCATAAGCATTTAACCTAAAGCTCCACTGAGCCTTAGTACAGCCCTGGTACCTCCCACGGCTGGTAGCATGACTGCACACTCTTATTCTTGTTTAGAGTATGCTAGATCTTTGGTATGGCATTCATCAAAAGCTATTTAGTACAATTTTTACTCACCCTCTATGTTAGATAGCTAAATAACAAAATGTCTTGTAATTGCTTGTGAGACTCTTTTTTTGGTTAAAGGGATAGTAAGCAGTTGTAATCCTATACACCTTTAGTGAAATTCAACCAATATTTCCACATGGTTCGCTAGGACTCTGTTTTGTGTGTGCTCTAAAAAAATCTGGTTTTCCTACACAGCCATGGCTCTGTAAATGGAACACAAAGAAAGTGGTGTGGACCTTACCCACAACATTGTTCCAGCCACTCAGCAACAGGTGGCAGTAGTGCGCTCATGCACAGTAGCAGTGGGAGAGAGAAAGTTGTAAACATCGGTACAGTCGAAAATACTGGACATAGTGCTGGACTCTAGGTACTGTCCAATAGGACAGATGGCTGAGAAACAGCCAAAGAGGAAAAGGTTTGAAGAATACAAACTGTGAGACAAGTTATATGACCAAGCAAGTGTGAAGACCCGTGTTAACATCAGTGAGGTGTTTAAGTGCTGGATAAATCTCAGAGATTTGAAAGGAATGAAAACCGATGCGGAGGTTGCTCTGTTTCTGCTCGATAGGTGAGTAATGTTAGCTTGTTTCACACAAACAATAGGTCAGTACTGGACAATGTGTGTCCAAGAATTTGGGGGATGGACCCTCTGAGGGAGCACTAAAGGGAGGAGTGTATTTGTTGGGCAGTTGAGTTCAAATATCAACAATCCTTACAGAATCACTTACTATCCCTTTAAGATTGTTGCTGTAGCCCAGAGTCATATAGTTGTCTCAGTTTATCCAAATTTGAAAATGTATTTCTTGATATTAAAAGTCAAAACAGAGAATAAAATAATACAGGCAATTTATATTTTTGTAACCCAAGTACTTGGGCTACCTTTATTTTCGTACAGCAGATTTTTTGTTTCAATAAAATGTAGAAGTTACTGTAGCTACTTATCTCAGTTTTAGTTAAAACTGCACTGATGTCTCACACATTGAATTAGCCGTCATATTTTTATCTTTATTTTTTACTTTATGTGAAGTAACCCGTCCACAGTTTTAACAGCTTCAACAAAGAATAAAATGTACACTAATAATGGCTGCATTCTTCTTAGGTGTGTCTGGGTCAGGTCAGAGCTATTGTGCATGTAGACAATCTAGCAAGGCTTACTGGGAGAGTTAAATGGAAGAGAGCCATAATAAATTTTAAATTATTAGTTATCAGTATTATGTTTCCTGCTATGACAAGTTAAAATGTCTATTGTTAAAAAGAGATCTGTTAAAGTGCTTTAAAGTTAAAGTCATTTTGTGGCCACATTTGTCTCGTTAATACTCACTTATAGTATTCCGGTGACCACTTGGCTAGAAATACATTCAAATTATGCTGTTTAAGAAATTAGGTGGCCTTTTATGTGTTTTTGGAAGTGTTAAAAGATTAACTAAATAATTTCAGTATATTGTAAGTAGGGTGTAAGTGACTTAAGTGGCGTAACAGGTTAGTAGTCCTACCTATAAACTCAAAATTTTCATTTTGGGGTAAATTGTTCAAACTTAAGCTCACAGCGACTTACTGTGATTTGGAACGAGATCAACTGAAACTAAGTCAACTAGGCTTATTTTCCACAACAAACAAAGATTTGATGCCAAAAACTAAAGATAGACCTTAGCATGGATAAGCACTAAGAATATCTCACCTGTCCAGACGGAGCTGGCAGGTGGTTCTCAGGATGTCAACCACACCCTCAGTCCTCAGCTGCTTGCACAGGATGGAGGTGGCAATGAAGCAGCCAGTTCGACCAATTCCAGCACTGCGAACAAAAAGTTGTAGGGGTAAAGGGACGGAGGAGGGTGGAGATGGAGAAAATGGATGTAAAGGTGTATTGATCTGCACTGATCCCAGACTAATTTGATGAATGCCAAATCCTCCTTGGAGAAATCAGACATAAGAGTGGTTTCTATAGTAAAAACAGCAGTAAAAAGTGTTCCTCCAATATGAAACTGGGCAATTTCCCCTATGCGTGTGCCCTCTAAATCATTACAGCCACATTTAGTTATGTCCACTTACTTTTTAACTCAAAGAGCTCTGAGAAGTTTTGGATTTTGAATTCAACTGTATAAGTTTTCGAAAGTTAAACCTGCATTCACTGTGTTGACTATTTGAGACTCTTGTCATATATGTTTGTGTTGATTGAACTTGGGTAAGTAAGTTATCAGTTGAAAAAAAAATGCTGGTGTGCGGGGATGGGAACAAGAGAAAAAAAAAATAGTTGCTGTGTCTTTTGAATTTGTTCTTTAATCCATGGCAAAGCTGAAGCATGGACATAATATTCATGTGATGTATTCAAATTCCAACTAAAATATAGACACTTTTGTGGAAAACAATAAAGGACTAGTGCCACCAGTGGAGAGGGAACCTGACAACCGCCTTATACATGTAAATTGAAACACATTTGGAATTTAAATCCTGGAATGGAAAGTAGTGTAAATGTGGTTAAGTTGTTGTAACTTGAAACTGAGAATTAGAATAATGCATGTCGGTTAGACTAGTTAAGGGACGTTTTCTTGCACTGATAAAGTAAAAGAATTCTTTGTTTTAACTCAAAGTATAAAGTTGAAACAAGTTATAAAAACTTCAGTCAACTACCAAAACAACGTTGAGACAACTAGAAACAAAAGCAATCTTCAACTTGTATTTTCAAGGCAGCAGGTGAACTTGCATTTTGAAGTTAAACTAATGTGAAATATCTCACAGTGTCTATTATTGACATGGGATTATTATAGGCCTTTTGACTCAGAGCCTTCTGAACACATATTTAATGTGTCACGAACAAGCTACTTTTGTACCTGCAGTGGACAATTATAGGGCCAGCGGAGGGTGGGGCTTCCTCTCGGGCCCTTTCCACTTCCTGCACCAGCTCCAGAAGAGGTGGTGCCTTATCTGGAGTCTTCTGATCAGGCCACGAGGTGTACCAGTACTGCCGCAGACTGCGCTCCTCTTCCTCACACTGGTACACACACACACAGACACATCGACACACAAACACACAGACGGGCATTCAGGCATAAAATACGAACGTGATCATTGTTGTGCACACATGCACATGAGACAGTGAATGATTTCTGATCAGCCTGTTGCTCTGTATGTATATACAAATTTTTACTTTGGTGACAACAATGAACGCAGAGCAAGGCAGCAAAAAAAGAGTGAGGGTTATAAAAGAGCCTACATAGTCTATTCCTCCCTTGCATATACTATAACATAATCAAATCCATCAGCTGCCTCTGTTCACTTAATGCCAGTCTGACAACAAGTTGAATAAACAACAAGCTTTTAACTCAGAACACAGTTATAAAATGATCCCCTGGTGCTTAGTAATCAGATGCAGGCTGCATTTAGTTAATTATCATGTTTGGCTTGCTAAATGCCAACACCACAATGATCCCAAATTAAATATAAAGCACCCATCATGAACACATGAATGGAAATGAAAAGTAACAGGAATGCTGAGTAAACCACTGCCCAACACACACATCTGTGTTGAGTCTGAGTACACACTGACAGTTTGATGAATCTGTCTGATAAAAACAACAACAAGAAAAACCATTTACTTTGGCACAAAGTAAACTTGGGTAGTGTTTGCTTGGTATGTTGAGAGGTCTGTAAGCCTGCAATGAAAGTATGTATTACGTGGTCTAATATTAATGATGAGATCAGATGTGTGGAAACAACCAATCATCTCACACTTAGCCAGTTGTCGACAGATATATTCCAGGTAACAGCAAGGTTTTGGTCCAGGTTTTGAGATATCTATCTCTGAGATTGTTACCGCCACAACAATACAATGGATGGAAATCATTTGTGTTGCTATCAGCTTTCAAAAAATACATTTAAAAAATCCAACAACAACTTTTCATTCCCAAAACAATGCCCTTATCACTCTGAATAATGTACAGAATACACTTTTAGTGGTTTTATAGGCACATTTGTGTAGTAAAATATATATATATATATATATATATATATAATAATACAAATTGTTCACTGTGAGCTTTGTAAATTATCCTGAATAAAGTGGGTGTTTGTTCTGGAAAGAGTAATTGCTGTTGCGTTTTTAGCCACACTGGTGGTGTGGCTCTCTGTCTATCTAACACTTTACAGTATTTCACACTGAAATATCTCAAGACTTATTGGGTGAATTGCCATAAAATGTGGTACAGACATTCATGTCCCCCTCAGATGAATTATAATGACTGGTCATTCCATAACTTTTCACCTAGCTCCATCGTCAGGTCAAAATGATTTCTAATACTTTGAGCGATGACCAAAATACCTGCAAAACTAATGACCATCAATGTAGTCAGGCAATGTTAGCATACTAATACGCTAAACTAAGAAGCTGAACACGGTAGACATATCTGCTAAACATGTGTCACCAGTTAGCAAAGCACCGCTGTCCCTGAGTACAGCCTCACAGAGGCACTAGTGTCTCTGTAGAGTCTTAGTTATTCTTACCTTTTAATACAAAGTTTCTATGCTGTGAGCACCAGAAATTAAAATCCATTCACCTCCCTTATAGTCAAAGATAAAACCAAAGGTATCTGCATAGCTAGACACCACTGGAGATAAGTGCAAAAATAGCATTTTTGCAATTTGTTCGAAGTGACTCCTCAATGTACTGTTTTCTGTGACCTATGGACTGTCTGTCTTTGTCTTACCTTCAAAGTAAACACCCTTAGACTGTAGTCATCCTCCTGGGTTACCGTGACAACGGTGATCTCGATGCCCTCATGGGTCACAGTGTCCTCAGGCCAGTACTCTGCACATTTCTGCAAAACACAATGAACACATAAGTGGATATTTTTACCCATCCCATTATCATCTGTCCATTCATCCATTAATGCATCCAACATCATCATCATCATCATCATCATCATCATCATCATCATCTTCAGCATCATCCTGCATGTCACTGACCTCGTTTTTCTCCTCCAGGTTGGTAATCATCACTATGATTGGACTTCTCTCCTGCCACACCATCCTCCAGAAGTCTCCCACTGTGTTCACGGTAGGACCCTGGGTGGCAATGTATGCACGCTCCTCACCCCCATAACCCTGCGCGCGCACACACACACACACACACACACGCAGGTCATATGTTTCTCCTACCTGTGAGTACGAGACACTGAGTTGTTGTTGAGATCAGTGTTGTGCTGGTGCAATATTTTGCTTATAAATACACTATTTTCACTTACTTTGAGATAATTAGCATTGATGTAGGTAGTGAGGAAATCATCTTCATCTTGTGACTTCAAGATCACTCTACTGTGTGTGTCTGGAGGTGGACAGTATGAGATAACGATGACAAAGAGAGAAAGAGATGGGTTGTAATTCAAAGAAGATGGAAGATCAGATTTATGCAGACATACTGTATTACAGCTCAGTTTTATTGCAAGGTTGGTTTGTGTATTTGTGTGTGCTGTGTCTCTCAGTGTGAGTATCAATTTTCTGGTGCAGAGACAAGCCTTTTTACAAACACATCTCAGCTAAATAGTTGATGAGTATGTGAAATTATTAAAGAGAAGCAAGCCCAAAAGCAGCTTTTTACAAAATTTACAACTTTTTCGTGACCGTTGTACTCACTGGGTAAGATGGTTTTGTAGCGGTTCTTTCTCACCAGCCCTGGGTAGTTGTACTCCTTAGGGTCCACAAAGTTCATGGGAGTTTCCTGCCGATGGCACAGAACAATAGGTGCAACAACAATCAGTCCTTGCAGAAAATGGAGGGGAGGTCCTTGCCATGCCTTCTACAAGGCAACAAAACTGTTGGTGTCTAATTGTACGTTGTTAAAATTCTACGGACAACTCATGTATGATCTTAAACACACATCTTTCTGCCTAGCAGACACTGGAATCCTCGTGGGTTTTTGTATGCAAATATGCCTCTATCTATCCTTCCTTTGCCTACTAACAGACAGTGGAAAAGCTTACGGATGTGTACAGAGTTCTGCTGGGTGAGTGTTCAATTGTGCCTGCGTCTGTGTGTGTGTGTGTGTGTGTGTCAGTGTACTTTTTTTCCGTCTCTGTTCATCCCTGTTAATCTAAAGCGTGTAGGTGGGTGAGCTGCTGTTGCTGCGCTCACATAAAACTCAGCCTGCAGGCTCTGGTCCTCCATGGCCCGTGTGTGTAGCATGGCAGGGGTCAAGGTGTGTGTTCCCTCTCTGAGGTACTCCTGGGCCGACTGGTCTCTGGGGGAGAGCTGGGCACCGTAGCCGTAGGGCTCAGTGCAGCCCGGTGTACACATATCCAAGGTCAGGGAAACATTGGAGCCCCTCCTGTGTGATGATGGCAGTTATGTACAAATTTGGATTTAACATATAGCAGATGCCTTCCCTATCCTCCAGATTCAGATCTATATATAAATGCAAACAAATAAACCCAATTCTCTTATTTTCAAAAATAATTTCCACCCTGCAGCCATGTGCAGGCCACTCTAACCTCTCCTGAAGCCCCACTGGTGTGACTGTGAGGGTGGCGGCATCACCCTCCGTCCTGGTGTCGGTGCCCATTTCAAAGACCGGCGTCTGGGGTACACGGTCCATGTCCAGCAGATCCTCCTGAGCGTCCGTCCACTCTGACAGGGTGAAGGAGGGCTGGCGGCTCACAGACTGACGCCTATCACCAATGTCCCGCGAAACTGTTCCTGACGACCACAAGCCAGTGCCATAATGCCACTTACACACCATGTGGATGACCTGTGGAGAGGTTAGTGGAAGGAAGGAAGGAGTGAACAGCATTTTCCCATTTGAATTCACCAAAGACTGTCATGTTCCTTCGAGGTAAATTACAAAAAGTCCACCATAATCTCACATTACGCAAAAATAACCAAATATTGTTAGGGTAGGAATCGAATTGTCCGTCCAGTGTTTTACCATGAGAACACAGATGGCTACCCCAATGCCTGCAGTTCCATGGACAATCCAGTTGTGCTGTTTGGTGTTTACCACCTCCCTCATCAACACCATGGACTGGCCAGTGCATAGAGAGAAAGACAGGGAAAGAGGCAGTTAGACGCAACACTAGATTCAGCATATCTGCAAGGTTTTTCCTCGATCCAATCCAAAAAGATTCAGAACTGATACTCACGTCCATTCCGAAAATCGGGTAGCAGGGTAAGACAAAGCCAAGGTAGAAGTCAATGATCTGCAGTGCTTTGTAGATGGAAGAGAGCGGCCCGTTTCCTTCCACCACAAAAAACACCCAGTACCCCTGAGAGGAGAGAAGGAGGTAAAGCAGATTGTCACTGTGCACTCTCCATTCATTCACGCACTGGTAATCAGGCAGCACTGTGGCTACTCTCAGGTGAAAAGCGAACAGAAGAAAAGAAGATGCAGCCATAACAAATATGTATATTGACCAGATACAATCATGGTCGCATTTACAAGGCTCTCGTCTATTTTTTTTTCTTTTTTTTCACATCTGATAATGTTACGTCCTTTTATTCTTGAATGAATGAAATATGTAATCAACAGAGACAGAAATGGGAAGAGGGACTGAATGTCAAAGAGAGGTCCAATTTTAGCTCAAAACTTGCCAGAATAAAGTTCACTTTCGACTAAAGCACTTCAGTATTCAGTATAAGTATTCAGATCATTTACTTAAATAAAAGTACTAATACCTCACTGTAAAATACCCTGTAAAGTAAAAGTAAAAGTACTACATTGAAAATGCTACTTAAGTAAATGTATGTAAGTATAATCAGGAAAATTTACTTAAAGTATTGAAAGTACTCATTGCAGAATAAAAAAAATATTCCCTGTGACAATTTTATATATTATATCATTAAATTATTATTACTGATGCATTAATGGAAATGCAGGATTTTACTGTTGCAGTTGGTTGAAGTTGAACTATTTTGTATCATACTGCAATTAATGACTTTTTTCATTATGGATTACAGTAATCTGCTAATAATGTTTAATTAATCAATTGTAAAAAGAAAATTAAATTGATAGCAAATTCATTAAAATAATCAAAAGTAAAAGCAGCAAATCTTCAGATTTGTAAAGGTGGAACCATGAAATGTTTTAACATGAAACATTAATTTTTAGGACAATTCTAAATAGTTGTCAATTTAATGTCTGTCCATCCACAAATGTACCAGCTGTAAACTGTTAGTTTAATTTATAACAATACATCATCATTTTTTAAAGTCTTTATATGTCCTGTGTTTAAAAAGCTTACTTTGTGAAGTAACTAATAACTGAAGCTTTCAGATACATGTAGTGGAGTAAAAAGTACAATATTTCCCTCTAAGATGTATTGGAGTAGAAGTAGTGGGATGAAAAGAAAATAGTCAAGTAAAGTACAAAATACCTCTAACTTGTACTTAAGTACAGTACTTCAGTAAATATACTTAGTCCACCACTGGATGCATATGAAAAGAAAAATAAGGGTCAAGTTGAGAGAATAGTTTTTGTTCAAATGTTACCGTCATGTGTCATTTGCATTGCTAATGTTGCAATTACACTACTGTGGATTTTTCATACAGGTCTAAACTAGCCTACATGCTGAGCTGAAGACCAAAGCCTGTGCACAAAGGTCATCTTAAGCAGACATTTGAGTGAAAAAATCTTCAAACAAGTAAAGATTTTATCCATGTTTTCTTTTTCTGGTTTCACATACTGTGACTTGGGAGACGACAAACAGTGCAGCCCAGCAGTGGATCTCAATCACCAGCGCGTACACCTTGTGCATAAACACTTCCTCTCCCTGTTTGCTTTGGCCCCCTGTGGGTCCATCTTTGCATTTTGGGAGTCCATCTTTTTTAAGGACTCCGTCGCCTATTTTTTCAGTCTTTGTGGGCTCATCCAGCCAGACGGGGTCCTCATCGGGCCTCAGGAAAATGGAGTCCTCAGTGTGGGAACGGGTGGAGCTGCTCAGCCGACGGGTCATGATCCCCCTGTTAAATAAGGCTGTTTTGTATTAAAGATATCTGACATGGATTCTGACTCTGTTTTTTGACATTTACTTATTTATTATGTCTTTGATATCTACGCTCTCTGAAAATCTAACAAAATAATGAGAGATTAATATCTTCAAGCATGTCCAAAAACATTGTTTAAATGAAATAAGCAGTGTGTGCTTTAGTTGTTGTTTTAACCCCTTATAAACATTAACAGTGTCAATATGGGTAGTGTTATGGGGTTAAGGTGTTTTATGGTTTTGTATTGCTTTTTTAGAGCTTTGACAAGGTATTAAATTATAACAACATTTAACTTGCAGACATACTTCAAACAAAATAAAGGTTTTTCTGTTCACAATTGTGAACAATTCTTGGTAAGTAAATGTCTAATTTTATTCTAATTCTTTCTTACTGTAATATACGTGTATGTTTTGTTGTTTATTTTGCCTGATATGTTCAGATTCAAAACTTCAGAATCACCACCTTAAGGTACCTCAGTGGAATTCAAACCCACAACCGTAGCGTTAGTAGCTTAGTGCTCTAACAAACAGTGCCACAAAGGACCACTACAGTGGCTTCAGTATATACACTACAATACTGTAAATACACATAATTTTTTGTTATAGTATTTGTTACATTTGATTATACAAAATCTATATGTTGCAATAAAAGTTTGTTTCTTGCATCAATGATTGGAGATTGATTGTTTTTTGCATCAATAAATAAAAATAATAAAATAATGCACATGCACAGAAGAAAACTCTTCCACTTCTATCACAAGCTAGCAGCGTTTGTCAGGTTGTGTGTTTTTAAATGAACGTGGATATGACAGAAAGGGTTGCTTCTATTCCACAGGACTATTCAGATGTATAGCTAAGCAGCTTGGAGTGGCTCTCATCTCCGGATCCTCTTGTCTTCCTCAGATTGGACTCTTTGTGTGAATGTGTGTGTGTCTGTGTGTTTAAGGGAGAGAAAGTGTGTGTACGTGTGTGTGTTTGAGAGGGAGAAAGTGTGTGAATGTGTGTGTGTGTGTGTGAGAGAGAGAGAGAGAGGCTCTATTGTGGAGAGATGAGTCAGGGGTAGTGTGTTTACAGCCCTGTCCGTCGCCTTGGCAACAGAGTGGCTCTCATCCCTCTCATCCGTCCTGAGCATTATCATCTACTGACAACACACACACACACATCCTCTGTGTATCAGTCAGCAGTGTATTCAAAGCCCTTTTCCGCCCTGCTTTTTGTCCTTCAACCATTAATAAAGGTGTTTGCTGATTACCGCCACGTGGTTTGTGTGCGGATGTGTGAATGCGGGGGCCTGTGAGAGTGGTGGTGTAGGCTACTGTTTGCGCACATGTAGCTTTTGTCAGAATGTGTTGCTGATGGCTAAATTTGTCATGAGTGAGTTCGGAGCAAGTTTTCATCAATGGCTACCGAACCAACAATGCAGAAGAAAATTACTGGATTGTCAAAAAAGAAAACAAACAAAACTATACATCCTGTCACATGACTCACCTATGATAGATGGCAGCGAACTGGGGAGGGAGTCAGATCACATGATCAAGTTAAATCCTGTATCCTGTGGCAACCAGCCGCTGTCAGCCATTGTGAGACAAATCTGAAGGACAGCAGACAACAGCCAAAGTTACACCTCACATGCTCAATATTTAAAAAATGAAGGACAGAGGAAACAAAAAACAGGAATTACAGGCCATTTAAACACATCCCACCGTGTTGTGTCCAAAATGCTACACGTACAGCAGAGACGCCTTACGACTCAAACTCAACTGGTCACGCTGAGACAGGTTCAGTGGAGTAGCACCCTTGTCAGCTCCCAGCTGTGCTTTCATGAGCGGAGGATGGTGATGTAAGGCGACACAGTAAACTGTCAATATTTCTTCCCCTCTCCTTTCTTTCTCTGCCTCTCTCAGCCTCTCGCTCCCTCCCTAAGAGGCAGGGATGATTCGAGCCAGACTAAGCAGACACCCTCAGAAATACATTCAGATTGCTCCAGTCGAATCAGTATGCACGGAGTCGAGCCTTCTCTGCTCTCCTCTCTCTCATCTCCCCTCCTCTTCTTCTGTGCCACTGGACCCTGTTGAACGAATGAGGTGAGCTCAGCGGAATATGAGACCACACCAGTAGCAGGAGCTATCTGTCTGTGTGTGTGTGTGTGTGTGTGCGTGCGTGTGTGTGTGAATGGGAGAGTGCAGGTGTTGAACAGAGGGGAGCTGCTGTGAGTCCTTTTCTATCTCTCTTTGCTTGCTGCGAAGGTGGTTTTGAAGTGATGACGCCAGTTAGCCCGGCCCGTAGTCATGGCAACGTGCATACATATACAACACACACACATAAAGTATACACACACGCACACACACACACACACACACACATATAGATTGTGTTGTATAAGAGAAACTGCTTCCGTTTTAAACAATGGACAGACAGGTAGATGAGTGGATGGAGGGATGAATGGGAGGAAAAGCAGCTCTTTTTTTTCTGAAGGTTGTCTGAAGCAATGACGCAGTGAGGTTGGCGTTTTGGTAACTGTGGCAATCAACATACAATAGCGTGCACACACGCACTTTGCAAGACACACCGCATGAAAAATGAAAAACACAAACATACACTGTGACAATAGTCACGCTTGTCTAAAAAAAATCTTCCTGTGAAAAAGAAGAATTCTGCCTCTCTGCTTTTATTCTTTGAGGTATATATCTTAGTTTTTCAGTCCCTTGCTTTGGCTGCCAAGTGCTTGCCTGGTGAATTGTCTCATACATTTAATCAGGGATGTAGCTGGGATTTTTGAAATATTAAGGTCATAAGTACCAATACCCCTCAGAAAGTTAAAATAAAGTGTCAAATTCTTTATGAATGAATATGAATCAGTTATGTCTGTCTTTTATTTCCCAACATGCTGTTTTGTCACTGCCAGGATTTCTTGTAGGGATATACTAAAACATGTTTTACTGATACGCCTGAAGGTAGCAGAATTTATATATAGTGAGGAGGAAAATTAGAATTAGGAATGTAATGTCCCCCCAGTCCCAGAAATAATGCTGAGGAGTGACCTTGGGTCTTCCTCAATGGTATTCAACCCTTTTACCCTTTCATATTTTTTCCCTTTGAGCTTTCAGATAATTAAAATTACCTTATTTCACAATATATGTTGTTTCATGTGTATTCTGTCTCAGCTTGACAGTCTCTGTGACTGACTAAACCAACCTACACTGACAAGCTAAATATTCTAGTACGAGGAAGTAACTTAAATAAAACACCATTGACAGACAATGATCCCTAACTCCAATAAGCAATGAAATCCCTATTTAAACACAGAATTCTGAGAAAAATGTACAACCAGGCCAAGTGGATTCATGGCAAATAAGTCAAACCTGGGAGATGCAGCCTCATTCCTCAGTGAAGGTCTACTGTCTTTGGGTCCTTACAAACACCACCCCCTCAGTCTTCAAATAGAGTATGCGTGAATAGTGTTGCCATTGATCTGCATCCATGCAAAGCACCCAGCATCCAGAGTCTAAACGCCATACAATAAGCCTCTATCCCAGGAGAAATACAGGGCCAGGAATGACTGTCTGCTGACAGCTGTGTAGAGCTCTATTTCCGGCAATCAGAAACAAGGGGAATTAACGTGATCTCTTTTTTTTTTTTGTGACAGCTGGCTCATGTTTTAATGGACATTCCTGATGCTTCCAAGTGTCTTTCTCTGGAAATATAATGTGTTCAAATCTGCTTTTCTACTCTCTCTTTTTTTAATGGTCAGGATTTGTTTTGCTTCGTCTAATGTGCCCCCGTCATTACAGCAAAATCTCAGTACAGCAGCTGCTCCTGTTTTCAGGTGAATCAAAAGTGAGTGATGTATCGAGTGTGTCATTGAAGTGCTGAATGTGGCACGGAGACGAGGTAAGAGGACGCTCTTATTGAAAGTGATGATAGGATGGTAACGTGAGATAAAGTCACGAGGGCCAAGACCTGCTTCATCAACCTTTCTCTGTCATATACACACACACACACAAACACACACGCACGGATAAAATCTTGATATCAATCCACACATAAGCTCACAATGACCTTAAAATAAAATACTCAGCAGGCCTGCAGCTGCCTCTTGTACATCACAGAGACAGATAAACAATCAGCTCTATTGTTTACATACACTCCTATAATCTCTTGCTTCAGTTCTAGGGGCATTTCAAAGAGAAATTTCATTAACACACCCTATAAACTTACAATTCAGCCAAAGCTATACTTTATGAATAATTGAAATGTGCTGCATAGCGAATTGATTTACTGGCTGCTGGAGACAAATTTGGATTCCCAGTGACAAAGGATTGTGTTACATGATTGCACTGCATCAAAACACCAGTGCAGGAATGCCATTCTCTGTCATTCATATTAAGACAAAACACCATTCATATCACGTACATGGCTACGGTGAGCTAGAGCGACCACACAGTGCAGAGCTGGATGGATTAGTAATGAATCACCCAGGGAGGTGGACTGTTGCATCTCTCTCTGGTAACTCCCACATTGTCACATAGACATGATACAACACAGAGGAAACCAAGCTTTGAATGATGAGAGAGGAAACACACATAGTTGTAACAGCATCGAATTTTTGATGATCTGAAAATAAACATGCACATACAGAGGCTACATCATGGATCCCTACCTTTTTACAGCCAGGAAAGCGCAGCAACCATGCAAACCATCAGGGTTTTGCTGAGGAATTGATATTCACCTCATGTCGCACGGGGGTGGGGGGTGGGGGAAGAGGGACAGACAGAGGGAGTACAGGAGGGCTGGAACAATCCCTCACCCAGAGACTTAAGTCTGGTTAGGATAAGTCCTCTTACCTGGCTGAGCCCGTCTTCACATTGCCATCTGGCGCTCTGCTCCCTCCGAGCCAAAGACCAGGAGCCAAACACCAAGAACCACGCCAATCCCTTTACTGCTCCTCTGTCTGGGAGAAAAAGGAGTGAGAAGGAGACAGACGGACAGCGAGAGGACTGTGTGAGGTTAGGAGAGGCAGAATCTACGGATGTGTGTGAGTGCGTATGTGTGTGTGTGTGTGTGTGTGTGTGTGTGTGAAAGAGAGATGGATAAGAAGTATAAAAGTCTGATGGGTTTTCTGTTGTTTTTATCCTGGAGGAGAGAGAGATCCACAGGCGGCAGCTTCGTCTAGGTATATGCAGCAAGAGGCTGTACGGTAGCCTTGGCAACAGAGCCAGAAAAAGGGAGAGCGAGTGAGCGAGTGAGCGAGGGAGCTGGAGAGCGAGAGAGAGAGAGAGACTGTGTGTATGTGTGTATTAATCACAATGTGGGCACATGAATCTGTTCATACAGTCACATTATGGGGACTCACCCCCAAAGGATAGTTCCCACCTGGTAAACTGTTACATTTTAAGGTTAAAGGATAAGGCTGGTGATATTCTATATTATAATTACTGTCAACAAACCCTATAAAAATACCAACAGCAAACGTTTTCTGCTAACAAGTATTGCATCACCAAAGCCTGACATAGCTTATTCCTCCCTGCCCATAAACCTCCACCGCTACCCAAAAACACATCAGTGAGCTACGCCATTGCACTGGGTGACATGTCCGTTCATTACCATGAACATGGGCATTGTAGTTTATTTTGCATCAATCCTCCACCATCCTCCTGTCGTAAATGCTCATTAAAGCATCGAATGTGTATTACTCTGCAGCAGAAAATAGTCCCCCACAAATGCACTGTTTACTCCAGTTTGAGAAATGTTTGCTAAAAACCACAGTGCCCAGCTGTTCTATGAAATTACTTAAAAAAATTAAACAGTATATTACTCAGTAGGAACAAATGAGTTTCAGGCTGAGAGCCGATGACAGGGTAGGGAAGTATTAAAAGACAGAATAATACATTGGTGGTTTTGGTCTTTCCATGGGATTTGCTGACAATAAGAAAAATACAGAATATTTAAATCCTTATCTTTTAGGGCAAGTCTAAGTCAATGCAACGTCCCCCTAAGTGACAAAAACACGTTTGTTTGTGTGTGTGCGTGGTGGGGTGGTGAGGGGTGGATCACAACACATCCCTGAGCAGTCAACACCCCCCACTGCCACCTCCTCTGCTTCCAAGTTGTAGGCTCTGCCACCCACCTCTCTCACCCTGTTTCTCATCTCATCTTGAGTGAGAAACACGTCATCACCCAGTTCTTTACTCTTTTTCCGCTCTTCGTCGTTTTTTTTTGTCAACCCCATGCTCTCGTTGCTCTTGCTTATCCTCTCGCGCAGTCCATCTTGCTTCCTACGCTCTCCTCCCTCCCCCTCTGTTGTTCTCTCTCTCTCTCTCGCTCTCCTTACAACCCCATGGCATTCTTGTTGTCTCCTCCCTTCAGTGTATTCTGCTCTCTCTCTCTCTCCCTCCTTCCTGTCTTGCCATATGGTAGCTTATCCCTGTCAGCTCTCTGAACTGACCAGCAGAAAATAGCCACTCTCTGATCAACAAAAATTCATATGTCAATATTTTTTACAGCATTGACAAAGCATGTTGTGAAAAAAAAAATGCAAATGACATGCACTATACTACACTAGTGTATATAAATACACTATACAACAAGCACTATACTACACTAGTGTATATAAATACACTATACAACAAGCACTATACTACACTAGTGTATATAAATACACTATACAACAAGCACTATACTACACTAGTGTATATAAATACACTATACAACAAGCACTATACTACACTAGTGTATATAAATACACTATACAACAAGCACTATACTACACTAGTGTATATAAATACACTATACAACAAACACTATACTACACTAGTGTATATAAATACACTATACAACAAACACTATACTATACTAGTGTACATTACTAAATTATATGTAGTGTAGTATAGTATAACACAAATCTTCATTTGAAGCCAAACTTATCCACATGGGTGCAAGCTGAAACAAGCTGTAAAAACAACATTAACATTTATTTGGAGTCGTGTTTCCGGTCAACTGGCGAGTCTCTGCTTTTTGTCTCAATCAACTCCGGAGGGAAATTTCTGTCTCTTTAAATGAACGAAGACATTAACTAAATACAGACTGAGTGACGACAACTTGACCATTGAGACTGGTAAACTGCAAAACTTCCTGGTACACTGCAGACTGTGTAAAGATAGAAGAGCCAAGTTGTTTATTAAAATAAAACACAAAAACCTGACACACTCAGACCAAAACAAAATTCAGTATTTACTTGAGGAAAAAGCAGAAACAATACAACAGAAAAATACTCACACACTGGAATCTGAGCTAACCTTAAAGAATTCTTCAACATTTTGTGAAATAGCCTTTGCTTGCAGCGATGAAATGTCTTTTTCTTGCTGAGAGTTAGACGATCACTATATCTGTATGTTAAATATGAAGCTAGCGCCAGCAGCTGGTTAACTTAGTATAGCTCAAAAACTGGTGGGAAGAAGCTAGCCTGGCTCTGTCCCAAGGTAATGAAATCCACAGAGTTACTGCTCTCAGCCAAGAAATAGTCTAGCACATAACCCCGTGTACAACCACTTGTTTTTACACTTTTTGTGCAGATTAAAGCAAGCAAGATGTAACATGTTAAGAAGGTCTGGTAGGCGAATTTTGTAACCTGTGGACAGAGCCAGGCTAGCTGTTTCCCCCGTCTTTATACTAAGCTAAACAGCTACTGGCATTAGCTTCCTATTTATAATACAGGCATACCCAACAAAGGTCTTCCTCTGGGTAAAACATTCCTAATGTAAGCTCAAGGAAGCTCTGATTTCAGTGAGTGCGTACTTTTCTATTGCATTCACGTTGATATTGTTGGTATCCAGCACCTATCGCATTCAGGTTTTGTGGATATACACATGACAACATGAAACTGGACTGAGCTCCTTTTAAAATGTATCCCTTTTTTAATTACTTACACCATGACTATTAAAGTCTATTATTAAACTGCATCTCATTTTATTGAACACTCTCTCTCCTTCTTTCTTCACTATTTATGACCCACTTCAGAGTCCTCTCTTCTTCGTCCATATCTCTCCCACACATCCCACGCCTTCCCCTCTCCAATCAACTAAATGAACTCCTCTGTCCTTCCTTATCTTTTACTCCTCATCCCTTTTTTAAAATGACCTCACTTACAGACACGCACACACACACACACACCCACACACACATACACGCACACAAGGTCACTGTCACACAGTATAAACAGTTAATGTGAAAGCATCATCTAACCTAATTAATGATAGGGGAAAAGAGGCTGATATCTGGTGGCCTTCCGCAGTCTGGTTCTCTAGAAGCTACACTGAAAGATCAAACTGTTACATCAATTCCTCATTTTCATGATACACATTGACAATGGAAATTTACTGTAATTTGGCGTTTGATAGGGGGAGGCAACAGCACTTTAAAAACAGTTACTTACTGGAAAATTTGAGTAAATAAAATGCAGTATAATAATAACACCATGAAAATCACCAACAATGTAACTGGTCAAAATAAGAACCTAAAAAAACAACTTCTCAGTGTATCGTCAATGAGACGACGGAGGAGCAGCATTCCACTGGTAACAAATGGAGGCATCTAGTGGTCCTAATTGCTCACTGCTGGTATCTTCATGAATGATTAGTAGACAGCTGGGTCTGTCTCATTACTACATACCTCTCGAATGTTTAACCAAGTGATATTTAGTGTGGTGTGTTTAAACAGGTTAATTGGGCTTAAAGCTTTTCTGTCTGTTCCTAAACCGATGCCAATCTGAGATTTGACTGTGACTCATGATGTCACATCCAGATGAAGAGGGCAGCTTCCAGCCTGCCTATCTGGAGCCATAAAACAGAGTCTAACACAGACAGGCTGCCTAATCTTGCAGCACATTTGCATCGTAGGGAATCAGGGAGCTGTTAAGTGTTCATCTGATGACCGCAGGCTGCCGCAGTCAGCTTGTTTCCTGTAGACACACTGACACATTGCGTGAGATCATAATACATTAGGGAAACAATATTTACTGGAACACTAAATGAAATACAGCAAGGTAAGGTTCAAGAAAGACACAAATAAGGCATCCAAACTGAAGGAAAATGTGTCACTGATAAAATGGTAATGCTACACAAACATCTACAAAAAGGTACACAAATATCTGTCTATTTGACAACTGAAAAAGAACATTTTAGGAACTGATTAAAGAGGAACTTTAATGATAGTACACAATACGATCAGTTTAAGGATCTGGTGATGGGAAGTGCTACTGAGCCTGTGAAAATGTTGTATAATCCAGCCACACTGAAGGGAGCTTTCTTAAATCTGAGCCTATAACCCTTATGTGTATCAGACTTTGGAATGTAGAACACCTGTGTTTAAAGATGGGTGTTTCTATTAAGCAAGCAGGGTCTAACCATACAGTCTATGGATCTAATAAATAGATTCATTGCATTATGGAAAATATGGGATCCAGCATTTTGGCAATTAATCCATAAAGGGACTAAAGGTCAAAATATTTTGGCCTCTGCTTCTTTGATTTCTATTTTAAATCTGTCTCGTGAGTTCCTTAAACTTGATGGAGGTGCTATAGACCCTGAATAACTAATAATGTATCCTATTCACAGTAGTAGCTGCTGGTCAATGTTTGGATGAGCTTAAGTGGGGACAACATAATAAATAATATGTAATGCGGTGCTAACAATTTTATAAAGTTATTGGTTAAAAGTGAAAGTGTTTATTATCAGACCCACTAGTTCATTAACACAGTATCATGATACCTGCTCTTAAGCAACTTATGATTAACGCTTACTGCATGTAGTCCTTGATCCAGTCCAGTTATTCAGTAACTTTGGCACTTGTTAGCTATTCACTCATTTCCACATCAGTTTTTGTGGCCCTCATGATAAAATGTTACCTTAAAAAGCAAATGAGAGCATTCTCAGGACTTTAAAAAACAGTTTTGGAGGTTTTTGGATTCTCTTCTTAGACTAAAATAACAGTTAGTAGTCAGAAACACCTCCTCCCAGTTCCTGTGCTGTTATGTGTAATACTTTGTACATACATGTCTCTGTCGCTCGAGGACCAGAAATGTGAACTTCACTGTGGTGAGAAAAAGTGAAAGACAACAGTTTTTTCTGATTGTTTGTGAAACTCACACTAACCACAAAACCTTTAAAGTAAAGGTAAAACATTAAAGTAAAATAAAGTAAAACATTATACATCTCTGACAAAA